TGGAATATTATTTGGTCACAAAAGGGTAAAATACTGATATATATATATATATATGGTGTAACTATGGTAACCAAAAGAAACCAATCACAAAAGCTTGGATATTATGTTACATGAGTTTGATTATGAGAAATATCTAAAACAGGCAAATGTATAAAGACAGAAAAGATTACTGGTGGACTAAGGCTGTAGGGAACAAGGGGTCAGGAAACTGAAAACCAAAGCTACATGCTTGTTTTAAAGGTGATTAAAATTGATTGTGGTGATGTCTGACACATACGTAAATGTACTAAAAGTTAAGAACCATATGCTACAAATGGGTGAATTGTATAATATGTAAACCATATATCAATAAAGTTATTATGGAAAAAAATTCAATGCAGATGGATTTCTTAAAACTCTCTCTCCTGCATCCCAATGGATAAATGACCCAGGGTCTTCCCTAGGAGGCTCACACTTCCTGGGCCATCATCACTGTAAATCACAGGAGACAACCCAGAGATCTGTGGGTACTCTGGTGCTATTATACCTAACAGAGCTTATGTATAAAGCTATATATAAACCTAGAGCCCCTGAAGAGCAGAGAAAAACTTACAGTGATCAAAGAGAGTATGATAAGAGAATACCAGCTTTGTTGAAGCAACAACAATACATGTAAGAAGGAGGCTATAATCACACTGGAGAAGCAATAACCATTTAATAACTACTTTCTTGTGCTATAGAATCTCAGTGCCTGAGTCTTTTTTGTTATTGTTAATTGACAGACAAATATCCCAAGTAAGATCTCACTAAGGAGGCTAAAACTGTCAGACCATAGAAGGCAGAAGAATGGCAGTCACCAGAGGTGAAAGAGGAATGGAAAGATTTAAGCCAAAGAGTAGGAAGTTTCAGTTAGGAGGAATCATCTTTGGTCCAGCAGAGTGAGTGTAATTCCTAACTCTGCAGTGTTCACACCGGACAGCTGCTGGGTGGTGCCATAAACTGATATAAAGGTGGCAAAAATGGGTATGTGCGAAATGGAAGGATAAAATCAATCAGAAGTTTGAGTGAAATAGAGCAGCTGATGTTGCTATGTAAGAGATTGGCACCTGTGGCCACATAAGGCTCAGTAGAAAAGAAGAATAGAATGGTTCATATACATGGGATTTCAGCGCTCAGAAGTGAGGACTAAGATGAAGGCAGCAGTCACTAGTGTATCTGAAGTTCTTGGAGACCAGGTGACAGTTCCTTCTTCACACAGGGATGAGAAGCACACAATAAGCCCCTGACTTACAAACAAGCTCCTCTCTGGGAGAACATTCGTAAAGTAGCTTCATTTCTAAGCCTGACGAAATGAGTTTTTACACATCTTTGACACAAACATACAAATAAAACACAAAAAACCTAACACATACACAAATACTGTACATAAAATATTTTCACTTTTATAGACATCTACCATCTTTTCACCTCTGCCCAATCTCTCATTTTTTTCACTATGTCCATGCAGTTATTGCTTGGTGCTTCCTACCAGTCCTGTCCACACTACCACTGCTTTTCCTCTGGCTTCTGGCCACCATGGGCTCTGGTTACTGTAACACTACACACCACTGCACTGTACAGCAAGCACACAGCAGTACCACTGTGACAATGTATGGCAGACCCAAGAGCTATTCCCACAATTTATTTGTATCTATGAATGTTTGTAATGCAAGGTGCATAACAGCTCAGTAACCATGGATATGAAAAAGGCTTCCAGAATAAGTACTGGACACAAAGCCAGAGAAGATTTCTGAAAACTAGTAGAAGAGGCTAGAAGCTTCAAAACTGAGAAAAAGGGATTTTCTACAATAGAAACTTTAAAACTTAAGATAACAAGTGACCCGTGTCAAAATGGTAGAGATGCAAGAAAATCCTCTTCTGTGAAAACAGTGAGAAGCTGCATGCATTGTTAAGTCAACTTTTCAGGACTCTGTAAGCAAACTAAAAACGTGTAGCAGTTGCACAAAAAAGCATCTGCACATGACAGCAATTGATTCTGTGTCATTTTAACTTGTCCCGTTTACCTAGTTCCACAGTAGCTTTGATAGTCTAAAATAAGAGTGAATATCTGCAGTCTCAGGAGAAGCATGAAGCACAGTGAGGTTAGGGTTCTGCCCAAGCCTCACCCCCAGTGATCCATGTCTATGGCTCTATGTGGTGGTTCTCGGGAGGAACTCACCTGCAAGGCTGGTTACGTGTTAACTCAAAGTGCTCCAGTGTGAAAAGCCCTATCCTGTGAGCCAATGTCACAAGCACTTAGACGCATAGTTTAACTAAACAACTACCCAAAATGGTGGGTACTAGTTAGGGGAAAGCAAGTGTATAATCAAAAAGTCGAAAAGAAACAAACAGGAATTTGATATCCATAATAAAGGTTTTGAAAAACTCACATATGTTCTCGAGAACACAGCAGGCCAGCTACATACATTAGCTAAGTAAAGCTCAAGGCTGTGAGTATGCTCAAGACAGAGTATGCTCAGTTGTCACCTCTGTCTAACCCTGAAGACTGGAGTAAGCAGGGTGTGTGGGCTTAAGGCAGAGTTGTAAACTGCCTGGATGACTCTGAAGCAATGTCCTAATGCTCACAGAGTCCTACTCCTAACAGTGGGAAGCTTACTGGTTGCAGGCATTTCAGAAAATGTATTCAGGGACTTCAGCTGCAAACCACAATGGAAAAAAAAGCCTCTATAGAATTAACTTTAAAAATCCTTTGAACAAATAAATCTTGACAGCAGCAAGTGAGTGCTGGGCATGGTGGCCCAGGCCTATAATCCTGATCTGGACGGTGAGGCAAGAGCATTACAAGTTCAAGCCTCTCCTGAGCAACATACTCACTTCACGTGCCTATGTCTCAAAATAAAAAATAAAAACGAATGGATGTTGAAGACCTAAGTAAAAAGACCTGGATTTACCCAGTAGGGCAAAATATATTCAAATACACATACATTTCTTCCCCATGGAGGGAAGAAATCCTTGAGTCCTAGAGTTGTTACATTTTTTATTTAAAACATCTGGATTTTAACAGAATATTACAGAACAAAAAAAAGTGAAAAAAGGAAATCAATATGAGGCACTTTTAGGGAAACAAGACATTGGACCTAACCAGACAACAACATTAAATCAACTATTTAAAATATGGTCAAAGTCCTAGAGGAAATGATATCTAAGACTCACTGTAAAGCATGGTGACAAAATACACCAAATAAAGGATATGAAGAAAAACACAAGACATCATAAAACGGGCCAAGCAGAAATCAGAGTTGAAAGTTTCAATAACCGAAGTAAAACTGTCACACCAGAAGTCTGCTCAGCAGCAGATGAAAGCAAGTGAGAAAAAGAATAAACCAACTGCAAACACGTCCACTGAGAGAGAGCATGCCGTGTGAGACACAAAAAGATTAAAAAACAGCTGTGAGAGAGCAAAAGCTTCTGAAGAGGCACAAAGCACCAGGCAGAGAAGCTCTGCAAGGATATCTGAAGAGTCAGTGGCAAAGCAGCTGCTAACTTTGATGAAAATGATTTCCTGGGTACCCTATGGAAGGTCTATAAGCTTCAATAAGGATGGCTCTAACTCAGAGAATGTATGCCTGGACACTCAATATCCAGTGGGTTAAAAAGGCAAGGACAAAAACACAAAATTGAAAGCAGCAAGACAGAAATGACCCTACTAAAGCTGATTTCTAATGAGAATGCACGGATGACAAAAGGTAATTAATGGCGTAAGTCAAAGGGCTGCAAGAAGTAAATACTCCACCAAGAATGCTTCGCATCCAGCAAAAAGAGCAGTGCAAACCTTCCCACATGACCAAAAACCAAGAGAATTCCTCACCACCAAAACTGCCTTGCAAGAATTGATAAGCAGTTTGGCTCAGCAAATCTACAAACAGGAGTTGTTGGGAATTTGGGACAACAGAGTGAGAGTTCAACTGTATAGTGTGTCTTTTAAGGCAACAAAAATGTCCAAAACTTGCAAGGTCATCATGATTGAGAATATACTGAAAATCATTGACTTGTCACTTTTATTTCACTTATTTTGACTTCTAAGCTTTAAGGGGTCAATGGTACAGTATAAGAGTTGAATTTCAATAGGACTTTTAAAAAATTAGTGAAGATGAAGTTATTTAGAGACAACTGAGATGATCAGAATCAAGGAACAAAAATGAGCTATGTGGAAAAAATAAGAGCTACTTCATGAAGGTGTCAGCAGGAGAAGGCCAGATATAGTGGACAGAGTCACTGACAAGGAAAGTTCCAGAACAGGGAGAAGGATGGCAAGGGCTGCAGAGAAGTTAAGTAAGAAAGGACTAAGATAACACCCGCTGGATTTCATTGTAGTCTGGCCAGGGTTTCTGGAGATCGTAGGCAAATGAGGACAGAAATCAAAGCATCACAAAGATTTGAAGATGGACACAAAGGGTTAAAATATCTGAAAAACAGCAGGACTTTAAACCATCCAATGAGCAAGCTGAGTATCACAAACATTGCAATACTGATGGAGAGCATTTCAGCAAGATACCCTGGTTCATCAGAAACATGTCTAACACCTGTGTGAGTTCCTTTAAAAGCAGTCTTGACCAAGTTTACATTTAGCATTCTTTATACTAGTTCTATTGAAGAGCAACTGGAGACAACACTTTATATTAGTTTAGCATGTAATACTCCGAAAGAACAGAAAATATATCTTCACTTTTACATCCTGTGAGGAAGCAGGTCATTTGATCTAGCTTTCTCACAAATGTCGATCTCTAAATGTTGTTTTGCTAACACTTTCCAATAGCTATCAAATACCTCAGAAATTTGGAGTTGAACATGGTAAGTTTGTAATCGCACCTACTTTCACTCTATTTTGCCTGTGTTCTTCCATACCATCTATGAAGGTATCTGATCCATTTCTGTTTCTATTTTTTCACATGGATATATAGATGTAGCATCCTTTACAAAATCTACTGTCAAACAAACTGCTTATTAAAAACTGATCTTACCTGAGAGACGTTCATCTCTGCAGCTGCCAGAAGAGTGTATGAAACCGCGAAGGCTCAGCTGGAGAGGCAGACAGAGAAATGGGGCTATGAGAAAACCGGCCTGCCTTCTATTTTCTACATTCACCTGCTACAGATCTCACCACTCCAGCTGGATAAAAGACTTCCAGAGGACACACCCCTTTGGCTCTGGAGAAGGGACAGGAAGGACCACAGGGAGGTAGCAGCACCAGAACCTGTGCATCACTGACACCACTGTATGGGTTTGCATTGTCACCAAGTAAAACAACACTGCTTATCTTCAAGGTATTAACGATATAAACTCCCTCTGACTCACAAAACAAAACATCAGAGGACTGGTTAAATATGCTTGGCCACACGAGAAATAAAACTCTCCAACTTCAGTAAAACCAATGATGTCATTAAAAACTGCTCAAACTGGCGTATTGCGTTTCTATGGCCTTTACTTTCTGAGTTAAAATTTCCACAGAAAATTGAAATCAAAATGAGCTGTTTTATGCAAGAAACACATTTTTAAATGTTTGTTCTAAATTATTTGTCTTTTCTTTTTGAATGGTGCTATGGTAATTACCCGTGTCAGTGTACTGGTTATGTGCTACCTGGGGACTCCACAGAAGTCTTCATGTTAGGTACAGTATTCTTGAGTTTCCGTTATAGAAAACTTCCTCTACTATCATTTTTTGTTACTCTCCAGATTCACTAATGAAGGAACATCAGCATATGTCTAAATGCCATGTGTGGGGATGGACATGGTGGGAGAGTGACCCCCAATCTGCAGAGTGAGGGGAGAATGAGGGAGATGGGTGCTGTTTAGGATTTTTCCAGCTGGCTCTTCTACCTGGACATCCTGCCCTTACCAGCCCTCCGATAACGCACCTTTTCCTGTGCAGCGTGACAGAGGTCCGTCCCTTTCAAGCTCAGATGGTCACCTTCTGCACCTTGGTCTACGGCATCCATGGTCACAAACCTGTGATGGTTGCCTAGACATGGTGATATTACCAATTCTGACCCATGCTATACAGGACATCAAGACCCACCCACTCCTTTCTAGAATATTCTGCCTATGCTCAGAAGCTCTGGAGGGGTCTCTGCCAGAACGGCTGGTCTTCTAGGTGGGAGCAGTGTCCAGGATGACATTTCCTGCTCCGTAAGAGCTGCTTTGCTCCAGAGGGCCTGGGACTTGAACCTGAGAAACAAATTCATTTTATGTGAAGTCTTCATCTAACACCCTAAACTTGAATCTCGGAATTCGCCACAAGTGTGCTCCTCAGCCTCGCCCATGCAACTGCTGAGCCCCTGAAGGCTGGTCAGTGCCCCAGGCCACTGTTTTTAGGGCAATAAGTTAAACAAATTAACCACTGAAATTAGCTTTTCACTGAGCCTCCTTTTACATTTTAAACTGTAATTACTGAAAATTTCCAAATTACATGTGTGCTTGCCATTACTAAATAGCACTGCACAAGAATAGAGAACCAATTTGCACCTTTAAGGACTGAGATACCCTGCACAAAGCAGCACGGCTCAGGAACCTCATCGACCCTGCAGCTCTGCATAAATCTCACAGATCCCAGGTGCCATGTGGGAGTACTGTGTGCACTTTCCCTTCTGTACACAGTGATTCGGGGGCCGGCCACTCAGCGTGCGTGTTCTGAAGGTTTTAGGAAAGGTACTGACATCTCCAGGTTTGATATTAGGCAGCAGGGAGAATATTAAGAAGAGCAAGACACAGGGAGTAAAACCTACTCTGTTTTTCATTCGCAGCCTCCCTCTCTCCCCTACTCCTTTGTGTCTTGAGGACCCACCGCCAGGAAACCCGTTTTGTTGGGTGTTTTTTTTTTTTTTTTTTTTTTTCCTATTTTTAATGGCACTTTCACAACGCGCAAAGACGTCCTGAAGAGGGCAATAAAAACAAAACAAAAACGCCAGGCCCAGGGGCAGCTGTCTGGTCACGAGGTCAACAGTTCACTCGTACACAGGGATTTTAAACAACCACAGCAGAGTCCAGATCCCCAGCAACCGAGCCGGCCGGGAAATCGCTGTCCCACCGCCACCGCCGCGGCCACAGCCCGTCCCTAGCGCCGGGGTCCCGCCCTGCTCCTCGGCCCCGCGCCGAGCTCACCTGGGCCGCGGAGTCACTTCCCACGTGCCGAAGCCCGGGCGGCCGCTGCCCCCCAGAGCCTCCGTGCTGCACTCACAGCAGAGCCCGCCTGCAAACCAGCGAACAGCGGGACCTCCGCCTGCTCTGCCAAGCACTCACCATGGGAAACTTGGCCCATAATGCTGCACGGCCTGCCCAAGTCGTGGAGAACTACAATTCCCACAAGGCTCTGCACCCTAAAAAGTTGTTTTTATTCCCCCAGTTTATTAGTGGATGAGAGAATTTAAGTGACAAACCTATCTAAGCGTGTTCTAGGGCTTCAAGGGATTCTTGAGTGTTCCTGGATGGCAAAAACAAACAAATAAAAATCCAGCTGTACTCATTTTAACGCTTAAAGAAACGCTAATATAACTGAACTTTTGAAAACGTAATGAAAATAAGCAATTCTTTTCTTAGGTTTATAATGGTATCTGGACAAAGTAGGAGATTGTTCTTATTTGGAAAAGACATGCTGAAAGCTGGGTGGAGTGGTGCATGGACACAGTACCTGTGGTTGAGGCAAAAGCACAAATTCTTGGAATTGTTGTACACTAGAAAAAAGAGCTTCATTATATTTGTATTATACCAAAATACCTGTAATGTGACCCTAACTGTTCTGTATACATTTTTGTTTCCCCTTTTCCCTCTGGGTGACTGATCTGGCCCGTGGATCAGTTCATAGGTCTTGCCTGGAGAGAGAACCGGGATGGGGGGCAGGGCAAGAGGAAAGAGAGATGGAGACAAGATGGGGTTCCAATCAACTCTGGTTTATTCAGGAAATGTACATGGCTTATATAAAGTCCAAGGGAATGTGGCTTTATAGGATAGTTCAGTTTAGATCTCCTTATATGACGTGGACTTATCAGATTAGCAGGAAACCATGCGTAGGCAACTAGGTAAGCAGAAGTACTTAAGCACGTGAAGATCATGGGAAATGTAGGTGAATGCAGCAGAGGCCCACAGGAGGGCGAGATAAGGTGGCAGCAGTGAGATATGCCGCTCCCTACAGGTGACCTAATTGATATCTTAACCATTGCTGCCCTCTACATATAATATATGTGGTGCTAAAATAAGGTAACAAAAGGTTGTCAATTGTTGCTAGACTTCTCTGTTTTCTGCTGAGGAAAACAAAGATATTCCTCATTAGCCTACCTCCTGAACCAAGCCCAAACCCCTTACTTTGTAAACAGTGATAATATATATAAAGGCTGCAAGTGTGGGGAAGGCACACACACAGCTTTTGCAATCTCCAATTGCACTGTGTCGCTGGGCCCAGGATAAAATAAATCAGCACTGCTTTTTTAAAATATATTTTTGCCTCATTTTTTGAACTCCAGTTTGGGGGCTCATTTGTGGATTACCAGATTTGGGGGCTCATTCAGGATTAATGGGGATGCCCCCAAATTATTTTTTCACCGATCGATCGGCTAAACATCTGTAAGTATTTGGGGTTTTTTTGCCTGTTTGTAATCTGAGCACACACATTTATAGCTGCAGATAAAATGAGACAACTTCTAGGGGCCTTTTTCCCCCTTTTGTATTTTAGGGCTTTTGGGGCCCATTTGTAACTTTCTTTGGGCTTCAGCTCATATGGGGTTTTTTGCCCATTTGTAATTGGATGCATGCATTGACTGCAGACAAGCTAGGGCTCACTCTGCACTGGAATCCTGAGGCTATTGCCCGTTTGTAATGTGGGGCTTCGGCCCATGTGTGTGGTTTCAGTCCATTTGGGGCTTCAGCCCATCTGTAACTTTGGGGCCTTTTGCCTGTGTGTATTTATGTTCAGTGTTTTTGAACTTTAAAATTGTCTGCCTGTTTCAATCTGTTACTAACTTTGGGGGTTTTCTGGCCCATTTAAACTTGTTAAATTTGTTACTAACTTAGGGGCTTGTTGCCTATTTCTGTTGCAGGATCCATGTGGCTCGTTGTACTCAAGGTTCATAATAAATATTATTTCCTTTAGCTCACCAAACTGCACAAAATAACCTTTGTTTGTGTCTTCAATGTTGGTCTTGTCTTTTGTGGCACCTTGTTTAATGTTTTAGTCCTCAACTGATTATTTGAAACCTTGGCATGCCTTTTAAAAGTATTTTTTCTTTCTGTTTAAAATATAAATATATGTACACATATATATGTATATTTATGGTTTTTAAAAATCATATTAACTTTACCAAGTAAAAACCAGGTCATAGGGGGCTGGGGATTTAGCTCAGTGGCATAAGCGCCTGCCTTGCAAGCAGGCAGTCATGAGTTCAATCCCCGGTACTGATAAAAAGTAAAAAAGACCAAAAAAAGGTCATATTGTAATTAAGCCAGTGAAAAAGTTTACAATTTTTTTAAAATGTAGCATTTTAATGTAGTAAAAAGACATAAAATGATTAAATATGCTTTAGACTACTAAAAAGGTTATTTTAAGGATTTTGTTAAAGGTTTTAATGTTGTCTAAAAAGCAACAAAAAAAGTAATTGACTAATAAGTTTTTAAAAAGGTGGTTTTGTCTTAAAGTAAAAATGTAAAAGAAAAAATGCTTTCTGTGGCATGTCTATTGTTGGGGGCTCTTAGTCAGCTTCATGTTGCATATCAAGAGCAAAGAGCCCAACAGGATAATTTGCAATACTGTGAGTTTGAGGGAAGGGGATTTCCAGAAATGTTATAGATTGTAAAGACAGAGTTGAGATTTTGATTGCTGAAAAAAAAAATTGCCTTGTACTGGAAAAAGCCGATCTAAATTTAAAAAAAAATAACTATTGTACTAATGTGATTGGTGATTATAGAGATAAAATACGAGTTCTTGCATGTGCTGTGGACATCTGGGAGATTATGCAACACAATTAATTTTGTTACCTATAAAAAAGCCCTTTTTTGTTAAGTATATAATTTCAGTAAAACAATGGCCCGCCACATGGCACCCTGGGACAAAAAGTGGTGTGCCATCCAGATGAAGCCTGCTCTCTGATCCAGAGTGCCAGAACCATGTTTTCCTTTTGTCCCACTCCAATTAAACAACTGAGATAAAGAGGTTCCCTGTCGATATCGCCAGTTGTTCTCGATAGCCATTAGGACACCCCAAAAACCCACCAATTTGCCCAAGATAGCAAAGATGAGACAATTGGCTAATAAGTCTCCCTCGGGGTTTTCTAAAAAGATTGCAAAAGGCCTACCACATTTATACACCAGTAGCACCTACTCAATCGGCTCCAGACATTAGACAAAAATTGCAAAAGTTTGAGAGATTTTTAAAAAATGCCTTTCAGTCAGTTATTAAAGGTTGCTTAAAAGAGATTTGACAACCAAGAGAACCCGAAAGACCAGGCTTAAGAGGTTTCTGCTGGGCAAAAAGAATATATTGGTTGTTGGACTCTCCATAAAAAGAAAATAAGACTCTTTCCTCCCAGAAAATGCAAGCCATCCAACAGATTCCAGTCCCTGTGACTAAAAAGCAAATGCAAAACTTTCTAGGAGATAAGACTGATCCAGAGTTTGGGACCCTGGCAGAGGCCTGTTGACTATCTTTCCAAGAGACTTGATTATGTGGCAGCCAGATGGCCACCCTGTCTGCAGGTGGTTTCCTCGGTGGCCCTCCTGGTTAAAAAAAAAAAAAGCTTAAAAATTAACTTTTGGACAGAAACTGTTAATTGTTTCCTCCTATTTGCTGGAGACTCTCATCAAGGCTCCGCCAGACCAATGGCTGCCCAACTCCCAAGTCATGCATTATCAAGCATTACCTCTAGATCTGACTACTATCAATTTCAAGGGGACAGCAGCCTCAAACTCTGCTACTCTGCTGCATGATGATCCCTCTCCACAACTGTACTAGGAACCAGACTTGACAGATGAGCCACTATTCACAGTTCCTTTGTATTTCTCCGATGGAAGCAGTTACATCTATCAAGGTAAGTGGGTCATGGGAGCTGCCATTACCACAGACTCTCAGATTCTATAGGAACAAACCCTGGAGCTAGGAACATCGACCCAACAAACTGAACTCATTGCCCTCCCTGAGGCCTCAAGTTGTCAAAGTATGCATTTGTTACTGCCCATGATCATGGGGCCATTTATCAAGAATGGTGCTTATTGACTTCTGGGGTCAAAAGATTAAAAATGCTCCCCAAATTTTAAACTTGTTGATTGCCATCTAGATGCCAAGGAGAGTGGCTATTATCCACTATAGAACCCATTAGACAAGAGATGGCCTTGTTATACAAAAAATAATTTGACAGACACCACTGCCCAAAAGACAGCTATAAAATCAGTGGGGATTGAGACAGTCCCAACTCTACTGCTGGTTTCCCCTATTCTGTCAAAACCTGTCTATACTCAAAGAGACTTACATCTAGCTGCACAGCTTCAAGCAAAGCCTAATGTCCCTAGAGGCTGATACCAACTTCTAGACAATCAAATCCTCCTCCCTGAGGCATTGGGCCGCGAATTTATCCGACAAGCCCATCAATCCATCCACCTAGGAAGATTAAAACTAGCTGCCCTTTTTCGGGAATGTCTCTTTATCCCTCAATTATCAAAGCTCGGCCAGTCTGTGAGCCTCAGATGCTCTCAGTGCCAATTGGTGAACCCAAAACAACTGCAACAAATAAAAACCGTTTGCTACGTGAGACTATGCCTAGAGAACATTAAGCCTAGACTTCAAAAAAAATAAGTACTTATTAATAATGATAAATGGGTTAAAACTTTGCCTACTAAGTCTGAGTTAGCCCTGATAATTTGGCCTCCCTTTTATCCATGGGGTCTGACAATGGCTGGGCATTTATAGCCCAGATAACTCAAAAACTAACCTAAGCTCCATTATGCTTACTGGCCTCAAAGTTCAGGACAAGTAAAAAAGATAAGTCAAATTTTAAAGACAATAATTACTAATGGCCTTAAAAACTGGTGAAAACTGGGTGAGTCTCTTTCCTTTTGCTCTTTTGTGTGTGCAATGTACCCCATATGTTGCAGCTTTTTCCCCTTTCGAGGCTTTGTATGATAGACCTCTTCCTCTTATCCATAAGGTTTCTAAAAAAGTTAGCTGATTTAGCAAATCAAGATCTTATTAAGTCCCCCCAGACTTTTCAGCCAACATTCCTCTACCTGCTGCCCACTTCGAGGACAAACAACCTGCTGTAGAGCCTAGACACCGGCCCTTATGAAGAGGCATCACC